AAAAAAAAAAAAAAAAAAAAAAAAAAAAAAAATATATATATATATATATATATATGTATATCCCATCCTATCAAATACTGCTTAAAAAAAAAAAAAGGTTCATCTAGAAAATGTTGAGGTTAGATAATATATTTTCATTAACAGTACTTTAGGTATTTGAACTCTAGCAATTTCATGTGAATTATCTTGTGTAGTATTCCAACAATCCCTTGCTATCCACATCTATTTGGTTCCTGAGTTCAGACATTAAGGAATACTATGTTCTCTAAATCAACTTGATTTTCAAGTTTCAGAAAGTAAGTAACAAGTTTGGAAAAGATTTATCAGAATTGTTTTGTTCCTAAATTCAGAATGTGACAAATATTTACTTTCAATGGGTTACTAGATTTGATTTGCTAATTTATAACCCCATATTTTCATAAGTGATCCTGGACAAATTGTTTTGGGTTCTTCCAGTAGGTTTTAACATCAGGATTGTGACAAATTCATAAAAATAGGTAATTTGCTATCTCAGTCTGGGTCCTGGAAGAGTTCCCAAAACATTTCATAGATTTCACTTATAAAAATGCCAACCTTTGTGTATTTTTTAGTGTAGCAATTTGACATTTAAAATGCTTTTTGAAAAATTTTATGGTCTTATTTTTTAAAGTTTATTCTGGAGGGAGGTCTATTAAGATTTTACACCTCCAGTTAATTCTGATGTCAACTTATTAAAAATCACAGATTTTTCCAGATTTTCAGGTATGTTATAAAAATATATATCAACTTTTAAGTTTGTTGTCTTTAAATTCTTTCTTGTGGAGATGAGGGGAGGGAGTCTCACTATGTTACCTAAGCTGGTCTTGAACTCCCAGCCTCAAGCCACTCTCCAACCTCAGCCTCCCAAAGTGCTGGGATTACAGGCATGAGCCACTGCACCCAGCCTTAAGTTTTTAAATTGAGATAAAATTTACACAGCATAATATTCACCCTTTTTAAGTGTACAGTTGAGTGGTCTGTAGTATATGAACAAAACAATTTCTACCCATTCCACGTTTAAGTTTTAATACACAGTCTTTTTGGCCAGGTGTGATGGCTCACACCTGTCATACCAGCACTTTTGGATGCCAAGGCAGGCGGATCACCTGAGGTCAGGAGTTCAAGACTAGCCTGGCCAATATGAAAAAACCTCATCTCTACTAAAAATACAAAAAAATTAGCTGGGCATGGTGGTGCATGCATGTAATACCAGCTACTCAGGAGGCTGAGGCAGGATAACAGCTTGAACCCCGGGAGTCAGAGGTTGCAGTGAGGAGAGATCACACCACTGCACTCCAGCCTGGGCGATAGAGTGAGACTTTGTCTCAAAAAATATACATATACATATATATA